AAGGAGGCTATTTGGTTTTGAAGACTTTTGAATGAACTTGGTGTTTCGCAACGGTCCGTCACTATTCATTATGATAGCATGAGTACTATTTATTTGGTAAAGAGTTATGTTTTTCGTGCGAGGAGGAATCACATTGACGTTCGTTATTACTTCGTTCGAGATGTTCTCGAAGATGGCGATTTGGAGATTGTGAAGGTCCACACGAAGGATAATCCGGCGGATATGCTCACTAAGGTGGTTCCGAATAATAAGTTTGATCATTGTCGAAACTTGTTGTACATTCGTGATTGTTGAGACCGTTGACGGCCATTTGGATGAACTACGGATGGCTTGATCCCTTAGGAGAGGGGGTACGTAGGCAACCACATTGGTGCAGCCGAGCTTGGAGAGATGACGCAATGACGCTCTTTGTTTGGTGTTGGCTCAGTTTTTGGGAAAACTTTGCCGATGTAAAGAATTGAAGAGAAGACAGGAAAATAACAAAATACAGGTTTGGAACTCCAGTGATCGATCGTGAGGTAGGCATGGTCGACCGGAAACGTGCACAAAATCAAAGGTGGTTTCTGGACTTGGTGCGGTTGACCTCCGCTGTCGACTGTGGCGGTCGACCGTGAGTCCCTGTAATGTTTCCTGGGTTTCTATCGTTGGTTTCGGTCGACCGTCGTGGTCAACCGCGTGTCGTGCTAGGCCTTGGGTTTTTGTTTCATGTTTGCTTTGGGATTGTGTTTTGGTATATATTAAAACATGATTTTCTAGGGTTTCTAATAAGAGATTAGAGAGTGTTCTGAGCATATTGGGAGGGAAATTTTGTGAGCAAGTTGAGAAATCTTTTGGTTGGGTTAATCTGAGTGTTTGAGAGATTTATAACCATTTGTACTCTCCTTAATTTAGTGGAATCTCCCCATCCTCTCCCCGTCGTAAGCAAATTGTCAAACCACGTATATCTCTAAGAAAGCGTGGGAAAAATGACAAGAAGATATTGGAACATCCATTTGGAAGAGATGATGGAAGCAGGAGTTCATTTTGGTCATGGTACTAAGAAATGGAATCCTAGAATGGCCACTTACATCTCTACAAAGCGTAAAGGTATTCATATTATAAATCTTATTAGAACTGCTCGTTTTTTATCAGAAGCCCGTGATTTAGTTTTTGATGCAGCAAGTCGAGTAAAAAACTTCTTAATTGTTGGTACCAAAAATAAAGCAGCGGATTTAGTAGCATCGGCTACAATAAGGGCTCGATGTCATTATCTTAATAGAAAATGACTCGGTGGTATGTTAACAAATTGGTCCACTACGGAAACAAGACTTCATAAGTTCGGAGATTTAAGAGCAGAACAAAAGATGGGGAAACTCAACCATCTCCCTAAAAGAGATGCAGTTTGCGATTGGTTTGTCATATTTGGATTGGATTGCACTCGTGTTTGGTTTGGTTATCTTCTCTCGTGCCTCACGAACTCATTCAGTGTGCGAGCACGCTTCCGCAAAGGCGTGCGACACTTATCACTAAACACTCACATGATACTTCATAGGCAATGGCTCTAATTAGGCTAAAAAGTTATAACCCTCAACAAAATCACCATAACTTTGGATTCTAGTGTTTTGGCATAGATCTTTCACATAGTATCAGCACAAGTGAGATTCAAATCTTACTGACCACAAATTTTTTAAACGGATTTTAAAAAAATATTACACTATGAGTCTATGTTTCGATCCATAAAAAGGTACTCACCCTGCATGGCATGTTAGGTTATAAAATTACAACCCTCCATCATCCTCAGAACTTCGGAATTCTAGTGTAGTAGCAAGGATCTTTGACAGCAGGTTGATCTTAACCCCTCAAAAGTCGACAATTAATGCTCTCTATTAACAAACACAATCATCATTTAATGCCCTTACACTTCAATAGTACTTTCTTCGAGATGAAGAAACTCAAGTAGATGCAAATTGTAGGGGTCCAAACTCAACCGACACACAAGGTTCAAGGTATAAACTGGCATGCAAACAGTTAGAGCCTTGAATTGCAACAGTGAGAAGAGAAGGGGCATCACATACTCACATGAATATAGTAATGTACGCATTGAAGAGAGAAGGAGACCGTTCACTGTTGATCAAGATGAATTGGTAGAAGAGGACAAGGGTTAGGGTTTTGTGGCCAGACGAAGGGTTAGAAAATGGAGGCATAGGAGGCAAATGCATGAGTTGGGAGTTTGTCATAGATGTACAATATGGAAGTAAATGCAATTTCCTTGGGGAAGAGCACATCGCTTCCCCTCTGAGCTGCGGGGGGGACGACAAATACTATAGGTCCTCTGTAGAATACCATATAGCCAGAAAGGGGTGACATTGTCGCATCAAGTGGCTAGCTGGTGTTGAAAGAGGGAGAAAATCTCTTGCCTCCTTTTTCCATATGCAACACACATCACATATATAGTCTTATATATATATATAATTAATATATATATTATATTACTATTATATATATATATTATACTATATATTAATGGTGTTCCTTATCATAGGAGAGGATTTTCTCCTTGACGTCTAATGGTGCACATCCCCACCATCGTCAATAAAATTAGAGAGGAGTGTGTGAGTTTGTAGGGATTTGTGCCTACTTTATGAGGGAATGATGGGGATTGTGTCATATAGGCGCATTAGGGAAATCTCTATCAAATTGACAATGATACTCATTAATACTCATAGTGTGCTTGTGTTGTGTGTGTTGTGTGTGTAAATCTATATTACTTATATATTTATTATATCTTATTTATTAATACTATATATATTAATATTCTATATATATGGATTAATGGTTTCCTTGTCATGGGGGGATTTCCTCCTATGACGCTTCAACAACTGACCTTGCGATTATGGATGATCCGTTCCGTTGAACTTGATTACTCTTCTAACCCCACACACCAAGTTTGGGTGAATCCGTCGTGTATTGATCCTTATCGAGCCAGTAAAACATGTGAAAGTTCTATTCATTCAAACGTTCAATTGTCGGTGATGAGGTCAAAGACGCGGGTTACCCCAAAACTTGGCATGTTTGGGGTTTATAGAATTAAGTCGACTTCAACCTGAGGGATTCACAATGCCGCTAATCTGTATTTGAGGCGTATAGGAAGGTCCCTGTTGACAGGTACATTAATCTCTCTTCTCTCTTCTCTTATTCTCTTCTCCTTCTCTCTCTTCTCTCGTCTCTCTTTTATATAATATTATATTATATATATATATGAGATTAATGGGTATCCTTGTCATAGGAGGGGATTTCCTCCTTGACGCCTCTAAAATCACATGATTGAGCGACATTGTGGATGATCCGCTCCGTTGAACTTGATCTACATATTCTAAAACTCCAACACACCAAGTTTGGGGTGAACCCGTCGTCGTTTGACCCTTCATCCACTCGTATCAATTTTAACGGTTTTGAATGAATAATCAAGTTGTTGGGGATTCGTGTACGAGGACATTGAAAATCATGTAAAAGGAGAGTACTGGTCTTTAAGATGACTCCGAGATCATTTAAGTTGGTTTGAATTTTGGGATTAATTTGTTTTTCACTCTGTAGTACGTTAAGCCCCTTCCAACTCCTAAGTGACTACTTCCCTCCATCACACGCGGCATGATTCTCCTACCATATATATGTTTGGTGAGACAATATGAATTCTAATGAGGAAGGTTCTTTTCTTTCTTCCTTCAGAAGGATATATAACCACGCATCATGTTCATCACATTTAGTGTCTTTGCCTTGCCGTACGTACGTGTCAGAGGGGGTTGGAGAGAGCAGAGAGAGAGAGAGAGACGAGAGAGAGAGAGGGAGGAATTGAAGGGCCCATACACATTAAGTTTGGATGGAGCCTGTATGAGCGTGATTTTGTCACAATTTTAGAAGGATGAGGGGTGATAGGTTTGGCAAAGGATGACCGTAGCCTTTCTTTGTTTCCTAATTTAAGCATGGAATGGGATGGGCACATGAATGGTTGGAGTAATCAATCGGTACATCTAGGCCTTGATCCATCACGCGTGATGTGGGTGAACCTTTTGGGTAGAATTGAATTGAGCCATGCCAAGATGTTTCACGAATGCATCTGCATTTTTTTTTTGAAAGAGACCTATATCATGAAAGTCATTTACATTCCATATGTTTTTTCAGAGAAAAAGACTAAATGAATGATTGAGGACACTAGGGAAGTCAATTCATGCTCCTTTTGTCTTGGGATTTTCATTTCACGCCCTCCGGTTAGGCGATTGAATAATTGTAAATGGTATTTAAATTGCTGTATGTTAATAATCTCAAGTGAGTGGTATTAAAGAATTGTATGCTCGTACATATCTTGAGAGTGGTAGTTCTCATGCTATCCTTTTCTCCCTCTCTCTCTCTCTCTTTTACTCTTTGGTTCTTTTATCAGACTGGTGACCTCATGAATAATTATGAGTCCATCTAGGTTTTTCTTTCCTCCAGTGTGACACTCATTTATGTTCTAATCAACTCTTGGTTTAAAGTGAAAAATATAAGTTTGATGGCGTTTATTTATTTATTCCACTTATCTTGATCGATATTACAAAATTGAGAGGCATGTGGATGGATACTCGGAGCTAACGTTTCTGAATTTCTATTTGTAAGGTAAACGCACACTCTTGAACCAACTACTTTCTAAAAAAAAAAATTTTTTTTTTTTTGGCTAACAATATTTTCCATGCTCAATTACTTTTTGTCTGAAACCTATCATATATGAGGGCACTAGATATAGGCTAACCCCTCCGGGCTCACATGTCATAGAACTAACAGCCCATTTTGCAAAATAGACTATCA